ATATATATATATATATATATATATATATATATATATACATATATATACTATATAAGGCCCCCAAAAGCAGAGAAATGTTTTGACTCACAACTAAAACCATTCAATTCATTCATCAAAATATCCAGCATCATGTAAGAATTGAAATTAAATGCAGGACTTTTACTGTGCAGTGTTATTTGTTTTACCATTAGTAAACTGTTATCTCCGGTAGCTGCCTGTTGGTGAATATTTCAACCACGAGTTGGTTCAGTCTGCTTTATGTCCACCCATTTCCCCAACTTTTAACTTCTGTTTACTGTGTAAAAGTTGTCCAATATTTGTGAGTGATTTGTGCTGCGGGGGCCTTGGTCCTGCGGTCTCGTGAGTCACCATAAGTTGTTTTACCTGACGTTTGTCAGTGGAAAGAATGCTATTTTCTGTATACCACATGACAAAAGTAATAGGTGCCATTTTTCACCCAGCTAGGATAGAGAGATTGATGAAGGTTGATGGGGAAGGAAAGGTGTTCAACGAAAGAGGATGGGGGGGAAATGAGATGCATTAAGATGAAAGAGGAGCGAGAAAAAGTCAATACATGCTCCCCCTCCCTCATCAGTCTCCTCCATTGTTCCCCTGAACGGATTGCAGGCCGAATGTTTAAACGAAGAGGCAGAGTGCAATATCCAAATCTGTTTCCCACTGGCGTTATAGTTAAGAGGAATATTGTATACACATATATATATACTGTATATTCTTTTGTTTTTTTACTTTTCTTTTAAACTACTTTCCCAATCAATTCTTTGTAGCTGGGTGGATTTATTTAAAGTTGCACTAATCGATATTTTCATATTAATGGATCAAATGACTGTTTAATGTAAAAGGTGTAGCCCATAGTGATGAACTGACCCAGCATTATCACCCGACTCTTCAGCTCCCCTCAGGTTTATGAAGCATTTTAGTGCCTTCCAGCTCATTGTTTTGCTTTCCTGTAATTACACTCTCACCGCTCTCATACATCGCTTTCAGCGAAAAAGCTCTAAAGACCACCTTTTCAGCAGACACAGTTTTTCTGCAGCATATACCTGTTTTTAAGGAGCCAAATATTTTTTTCTCAGGAGTTGGGTGAGACCAAAACTGAGATAAAAGGAAGGTGAGTATTGGCCTTGTGTTCATCAGGTGTCCGGACACAAAATCCCAAATTAATAACAATGTTGGGTCTGCTTGATGTCTAAATAAGCAAGTGTTTCCGCTGCCACCAAGTGGCCAAAAAGATAGTAATTGCAGGTTTAAGACACATGGTACCAGTTGTTTTTTATCTCTTTTCACCAGTGGTGGGCCGTCAGGGCCAGCTAAGCCTTCTCTGCTGGCCTAAACAGAATCACAAAGTTATAGCTATTTTATAATTTTTCACAAATGCACTACATGTATTATAATTTTTGTTCCTATTGTACAGCTCCTGTCTTCCTCTGTTGCTCTGCTTCCAGCACAGCTTGTTTTAAGAAGAGCTTGTATCCAATCTGATTCAGCCGGTGTCCTGGTCGCCGCGTTTTTTTTTTTTTTACATCTGCAGTAACTGTTCATTTGTCTATCGTGTCGTTTTTATGAATAATATGAATGGCTCGCGCTCTAGCGCCGCAGTGTTGCTGGATTTATTTGTCATGCTTGACATTTTATGTGACTAGTTCTTGTCATTGTGTTAATTACATTGATTCTGACTTGTCCGTTAATGACGAAGCATCCCGTCATCGCGGGTTTATTTCGTTTTTTTGTTATTGTTCCGGGTTCAAAAGGTGACACATCCTGTTGTCTGTTACGTGAGCGCAGTCCACCGAAAACATTATATTTCCCACAATTTAAGCTTCTGCATTTTCCAAATGCACCAGTATTATTCAAACGTATTGTTCGGTTCGTAAGCCTCGTACCAAACGGTTTAATACGAATACGTGTATTATTACACCAATAGAAACAAATAACCGTAGCTCAGTAGGACAGCACAGAAGGCCCAGGTATAAAATGCACGGCCCGCCACTGCTTTTCACACTCACACACACTGAACTTCTATACATTTCGAACAAGATTTTCTTTCTTTCCTTAGAGAGTTGTGAGTAGTTGCGAGTCCCCTCACTGACACGACGTTGAAATGTCCAGGGAATACAGCAGTGTTATCCAAACTCAGCCGGCCCCACTGTACAAATAGGTGGTGGCCCCAACATGTGATCCCACCAGGACAGCTTCCGAATAATAGATGGCTGTGTTACTGATATCTCTCCTTGGGATTGAGCCTCATGATCATACAGATATTTACTGTGACTGTGTTTATTGTGAATTGTAACCTCTATTTCCAGATATTGGACACAGAACCAGGATGCCACTATTAGATTCTAGGCCCGATAACAAGGTGAGACAGGGCCCCCTACCCTGATCTATGTCATTTACTCTGAATAAACTAAATACTATGAGTAGCTTCCTGATCTTTTTTGTCTCAGTTCTTTATTTAAAACTATTTTGTGTTTGTATAGTTACTGTGACTAGAAATTCCTTTGTGATTGGGAATTGATATTTTCACCAACCTCATGAAAAAGGTAAATGTTCCTAATATTCTGTTAATTCAATACAGTGTCATCTTCTTACATGGACCCCAAAGGGGTATATCTCCCCGTGTCCTTTCACTACAGGGACATGATTTATCTGGAATAATGATGCACTCTAAGGTCTTTTTTAATTTCACCTATAATAATAGGTGTTCATGCCCCAAAGCTGCAATTAATTTCACTGTAGACTAACAAAGTTTAGTTGTGAAGAACTTGCACAAAGCAGAATATTCATAAAAACAGGACAATAGAGGTTTGTGGGGTTCAGATTTGAGTATACATTGATCGGTTCTGTAAGAAAAACCCTGCAGTCTGCATAATCTGGAGTACATACTACTCAATAAACTTTACACTTTGTGTATGTCGTCAAAAATGCAACTGAACATATTTCCCAAATGCAAAACATGTCCTTTTAGAATGAACATAGTTTAATCTTGCTTTTCATGTTTTATTCAGGTTTAGTCTGAAGTCAATGACTTTCCACAGAGCGTGATAGCTACTTACCAATTTCAATTCCAATTTTTTCTTTTTTATTATCTGTGGCCACATACTGCATTGGATACCGAACACTTTGAATTACCGTATAGAACAACAATATGATAAATAACATGTAGAGAGAAATGTTAAAGCCTTCAGTGGGTTTGCCTCAGAAACAAAGACTGCAAGGTGCATAAACAGAGCAGAACCTTGCAGCTTTGTCAGTGGACAGAGTGAGGGGCTATTAGGTAGACCACCAGCCAAGACTAGTAATGTGATGGGTGTGGAGGGCAGAGGAGCTTGACATGGAACGAGTCATAAACCTATATTATCAGCTGATTTTAGCGCGTCACAGATACACTATCAGCTTTTATGGCAGCTCATGATTAATAAAAAGCTTGCACGGCAGAAATTCTATGCAGAAATATACATTTTAGGTAATACAGTAACAATGTCACTACAGCATTGATTATATTTATTTATTTACAACTCCAACATGTCCTGCTGAGTACATCTTGGTCACAGTTCTTTAATAACTACATTTAAGGGGGTTGTTATTAAAACAGTTTGTCTATGTTGTGTGTTTATGTTAAAATAATGAATATGAGACCTGTAACGATTAGTTGATTGATCGACCAGTCAATCAAAAGACCTTGATTGATTAGTTGTTTTAATCCATTTTCAGGAGAAAGTGCCAGATATTTCCTGGTTCCAGGCTCTTGAATGTTCTTTCTCATTCAGTAAAATGAATATAAATGAGTTTTGAATAAAACAAGCTTTAATGTGTCTGTGGTTATGGATC